AGTTTCCTGATTGTACACTGAGAATCGATATGCAACCAATACCTTATATAATTTTACTGAACAAGTAACATTTCCATATACTCACTGTTTCTAGCACCTTCTACAAAACGAAGAGACTCTGGCGAGAACAGGTGTACTGAGATCCAAGCATCCCCACAGCGGGATTTACAGTTCGAGAAGAGGAATTAGTATAGCAGTTAAAATAAAACAGGAAAACTAGCTGTTGTTACTCAGGTCTGGCGATTATGAGAGGCGATCCTGTCGTGGGAGGGCCACAGACCTATGTTGAATCGCTAGAACCCGAAACCCTAAACGAATGTCAATACTTGACGATCAGAAGTCGTCCTCGCGACAACCAACACTGGATGTATCCTCGTCGAACTCCATGATAATATCCATGTCGAGAATTTCCAAATCCTCCGAAGCCATGGCCGCGATTTCGGCGTCAAGCGCAGGGCCGAGTCCGTGGTACGGGTCCGTCTTTTCTCCGCAACTGTCGCCGGACTCGCCGGAAAATCGCGACGACTCGACGAAATCGGCTCCGGCAGGCGGCGATGCGGTACAAGCCGCTGCGTTGTCACCCGCAGTCGCCTGGGAAGGTGCTGTCGCATACGAGCTGACGCCGCTGACGGTCCGAGAAAGGGAAGCAGCATGCGGCATGACGGAGCCACTCACGGGCTTCAATAGCATCGAGATGAGCGCCGATTGCGCTTCCGGAGAAAGATTCGTGGACAGGATTCCTTGCGATTGTGCCCGGGACAAAATCCGGATGGCCTCAGCCCTCATCATGATGTCAAATGAAGAATTGTTTTTCCCTGCCATGTCAATTTGATCGTAACTATCCCAGCTGCGCTCTTCCGCGTTTCCTGGGCAAGGCCGGCTGCATGCGGTGTCGCACACGCTCTCGTCGTCGGCTTCGTCGCTCTCCGTCATCTCGTCGTCGCCCCCGTCGCCGTGCGACTTCCCTGCGACGCCGTCGCGAGCGAGTTGTCGCATGTGCGACATCGAGCGATCCATGGAGCAGACAGCCTCCAAGTCAGATTCCGCAACGTTCCACCCCGCGTGTTCTTCGTACGCGGAACTTTCCGCGCGGGCGCAACTCTCTGGACGGGCGGAAGCCTCCCCATGGCTGCGCAGGCTGCGCAGCTCCGCGACGTCGTAACTCGCGGAAAAGACGCGCGCTGCGTCGGGAACGGCGGCCTTCGCGCCGCCACAAATTTTAGAAGAGAACGGTACACTATCGTATGCCATGCAAGCATTTGCGCGATCCATCTGATGAGATCGAACGATATTCGCAGATTGAACGGTAGAGAAAGGCTGGATTGTTTGAACGTTACACAGATGGACAGAGGCTTTGGTGAGGAACTAAAGTATTAGGATGAAGAGTAAGAATGGTGGACGGGTTATCAAAGAAGGAAGATGATGAGGGAGTTTATTTTGCAAGGACAGACACTCATATCTCTACTAAATGCGCAGAACGAGAATATCTAGGCCAGCTCGAATGGATATGTCAACCAGAGGCGAGGAGGCGAAGGACGCACGCCGTGCATTTACAGTCGCAAGTTGCGACTCGCAACTGTACGAGGCAACCCCAGTTGTGCCTGTTGTTTCTTTCAACAATCACCTGGAAGTGTTGTTTCTTCCAACAATCAGTGTGTAATGAGTGTCGGAGGGCAAGAGGGGTGGCAGTTGAGGTGTAGGTGGCGGTTTCGGCGGAAGCAGCAGCAATGCCTTTCACCGAGGAAGCTTGAGCCGAAAGCCTCATCGCCACATCGCGTCAAGCCATGGCAATCAGCGCGACAAGTGGAATGATGAGGTGTCGGGACAACAATAACCGCGATGGAATGCAATGCAATGCAAGCGGACGCATCCTCTCCTCACTCACCACCACCACCACTTCACCCCATCCCACACATTGGTCCCTCGGGCGGAGTCCCACTCCCTCCCTGACCTGACTCCTCCGCCCGACCATCCAGAGTCCCTCCTCCTCACCAGAGTCCTTCGACCTCCCAGAGTCCGTCCCTACCTGACTCGACTCGTCCAGCCATCCACAGTCCCTCCTGACTCAGCTAACCACCCACCGACCCCCACACACACACATCCGTTACAGTACACAAACCTGCCAAGCATGAAACCGGCTGAACGTGAAATTGTCCCCATCCCCCAAGTCCGCACCTCAGTGCAAAGTGCTACGTGTACAACCTCAAAACTTCAGATCGCAATGATGCTGCGTCAGCGTCGGCCGATAGTTCTTTACAACCCAGTTTTTGGAGGAGTTTGCACCATTTCATAAAAGCATGTATCCATAATAATAGTAATGAAATGTCTACACTTCATCAGATATAGCTTCACACAGCAGTCATTCAAGGTCAGAAACAAACTGCCTTCCTCCACCACAGTCGAGATAGCACGACCCCCGCGCGCTCACGTGTTTCCAGTGAAACTCCATGCGAAGTTTCGTCAGGAGCAGCGTATCAGTGCCACGTGAGCTTGCCCCCTCGCTCTGTTCCACGCGCTTTCCAAATTGGAAGTGTGGTGGACGTGTAACAGAAGGCATTGCTGGACGTATGGATGGGGAAGGGAGCCGGATTGGGTTGGGTTGGAACTTGGAACTTCGGCAAACTTCCAAATTACTAAGGGTAAACATTTATCTGGATAAGAATGTCAATTACAAAAACTCGCAGCCACAGACAATCTGTGCGTTACCTTGATGTGATGTTGAGTGGTTCGAAGTAATGTGACTATCGATTCTACAATGCTGGTTTGCCGTAAATGGTAGTAGAACCATGTACACAAAAACAGTGGGACACAAAGCTGCGGGGTACCAGGAAAAACCATGCGATGCTACAGACGACAAACGCGTAAGCGAGATGGTGGAATCTTACAATGATTTTTCCAAGAGGTCGATTGCCAATTTGGCAGCACAGTGCCAGCACAGCTGTGATGGGGAGATGTGCGAAGGAATCAGAGAAAATTTAGCTGGAAGGGAGCAGAATGAGAGACCCTGGCGAACGAAGAATTGTGGATCCAGTCTAAACATGAACTCCGAAACCAAATCTGTGAACACCTGTTTAGTCAGGCTGTCGAGAGAAAATCTGTAGGTGGAACAACAACATGCACAAAGAAAACCTCAAGCTGCCTAAGCCCAATTTGAGCCGGGGGTCCTCAAAATCCATCATTGGATTTTGTGAGTGTGGGAGTGTGATGGACAAGCTCAAGGAGGGGACACCTTCAGGTTTGGGGTGCGTGTCACCCCGTCCAGGTGGAGAGGCGTGCAAAAATATAGTGTGAAGGGTAATTAGGTCGAGTGACTGGTTCTGTGGGTTGTCGTTCTGCGAGCACTAACTGTAACACTTACTGTATGTGTGGCCCACAGCTCCACACGTGATAGCAATGCTTCAGTCAGAAGCAACAAAATGGTGCACTTCTACTCCACTCTCTAGTGGTGGACTGGTCCTCCTGCTCTCTGTAGCGCTGTTTAAAAAAGAAGGTTTCCTACTCTTGGCTTCGAGCCAAAATGAGAGCTGCAGCCTCCAGGCCAAAACGAGAGGGACTGGCAGGAATTTCAGCAAAGGGGTGAGCAAAGGGGCTGGGTTAAAATCCTGGTGACTGGTTTCTGACAGGGTAAACTACGAAGGCAATCAACAACACATAATCATGGGTGGACAGCTTCCAAAACCCCTGGTCATGTATAAGGCAATTCTGCAACAAAAAGTTGCTTCGTGGCATGTTGCAAATGTTGAGGTCATCGACGTGGCAATCTCAATCATCAAGAATGTACTCTGCCTGAATTTCACACTACACTCACTTTTGGATTGATAGACACAACAAAGCAGAACATTGGTACCTAAGCCATCCCTGCACATATACCAGTAGATAGGCCAGGCTACAGAAATTACAAATTGCGAAGTGCGGCCGCAATAGATCGAATGTAAATGGCAAAAGAGGCAACGGCGAGAACTGCAGATGTGTACAAAAGAACCACCCCTGATGCACCGATTAACGGTCCAATAACTGGTAGTTGTAGCCTGTTACAGAAAGGAAACAGAAAGTACGGTAGGAGATGAGGAAATAAAAAGAAGTCAACATAGCTTCTGTTCTGGCACGAGCAGCTACACTACTGCAAGCCAAAACAGCTGGTACTGACGTTCATGCATAGAATTGGCTGCTAGATAGAAAGGAAGATGCATGGGAGCAAATGATAGGATTGACAGTATTCCCTCTAGGGTGTTGTATAAGATTCGTCCAGAACCAGGGGGGAGGGGGGGGGGGGGGGGGAGAGGGAGGTTGGAGAGGGGGGGGAAGGTGGGCGGGGTGTGTGGAGCGAGGGGGGTTAATCGACGGAACAAATTTGCCTGGGGCTACTGAACAAGTCATTTGTAAGGGAAGTCGCAGTTTACAGTAACTTTAACGTCAAGTTGTAAGTCACCGGCGAACTTGGCGACGAAACCTGGGGCGCTTGCGATTCAAACAACTAGTATGAATGGGACCGCACTGCAAAATTGAAGCTTCGGCGGAGAACGTTTCGCACGTGCAACTGTTTTTACCGCTACACACGATCTTTTTTAGGCTGGGTGGTTGTGGGGGGGAGGATGGGGGGTAGGACGCGGGGTTATGATAGATTCAACGTCCAAGGTAGGGTGCTTTGGACTTCCACTCAAGCCACCTTGGGGTGCTTATTTCTTCAGAGTGCTGTGTACGGGGGACTGACGGTACTCACATGGGAGACCTGATGGCGAGCAACACCGTGATTGCAACCATTTGGGTGGCTGTTTCCCACTTGCCGTATCCGCTAACCGTAGTAGTAGCCTTACGCGGGTGCTTATTGTGTCAAGGTGTTTTGCAAGGGGGAATACGGTACTCACATGGGCGACCTAATGGCGAGCAACACCGTGATTGCAACCATTTGAGTGGCCGTTTTCCACTTGCCGTATCCGCCAACCGCAGTAGGGGGTGCTTATTATTTCAGGGTGTTTTGCAAGGGGGAATACGGTACTCACATGGGAGACCTGATGGCGAGCAGCACCGTGATTGCAACCATTTGAGTGGCCGTTTTCCACTTGCCGTATCCGCTAACTGCAGTGGCCTTTTTCAGCTTCTCTCCCTCCCCTGCCGCCCATTCCCGGACTGCTGACATGGCAATCTCTCGGCCAATCATGGCGATGGCGGGGAGTGGGATGGTCCAGGATGGGAGGGCCCATGGCAGAAAGGGGATCACTGGTGCGGGTTCGGTGCAGAGAAGGACGAGCACTGCTGCCACCATTAGCTGTTCATGGGAGACAGTAAGGGGCCAAAGAGGGGATGGGATGTAGAGACAGGGGCAATGGAGAGAGAGAGAGAGCAATGGTTGAGAAAGGGGATCACTGGTGGGGGGTCGGGTTCGGAGCAGAGAAGGACGAGCACTGCTGCCACCATTAGCTGTTCATGGGAGAGGGGAAAGGGGCCAAAGGGAGGATGGGATGTAGAGAGAGGGGCAATGGAGAGAGAGAGAGCAATGGTTGAGAAAGGGGATCACTGGTGGGGGTTCGGTGCAGAGAAGGACGAGCACTGCTGCCACCATTAGCTGTTCATGGGAGAAGGGAAATGCTTGAGGAGAGACAGAAAGGTAGAGATAGGGAGGATGGAGGAGTGAGATAGATGGTTGGGAGAAATATGGGAGAACAAAACAGAAAAAAAACTGTTTACTGCAGCACTACAGCCAGTTGACATATGCTGGCGTGGAGGAGCAAGGGGAGGGAAACGTCGGAAAGTTCATGAGATGGCACCAGAGAGAGAAGAGGCATTTGTGTTGGCGAGGGGGAGGGTGGGTGGGTGTGTAATTTGCACTTGTGAACACTCAGCATTCAGCAAATGAAGGTTCCGTAACAAGATTGTAACATGCATCAACGGCGGACTTCCAATCGATCTAAAACGAGTGCGTCCTTGTGCAAGTGTGGGCCATGGATGTGTGTGCGCGCATGCATTGCATGCATGCGAGCATATGTATGTGTGTTCTCACACATGAATAATTCGCAGCTCACCTTATCTGCAACAGGGTCCAAGAAAGCCCCAAACGCGGAGCTGCAATTCATCTGCAACATCAATACAGCAGAGTACGATAGGAGACAGCATGAAGAAGAGGGTATGAGTGAACGGGAAACAGCATGAGTATGTGAGCATGGGAGACAGTAAGAGTATGGGGCCATGTGTGAGTGGGAGACAGCAAGAGTATGGGAGCATGTGTGAGTGGGAGACAGCAAGAGTATGGGAGCATGTGTGCATCGGAGACAGCAAGAGTACGAGATTGTGTGTGAACTGGAAACAGGGAGAGCATGTGAGAATGTGAGAGGAGGTGAGAAAAGCGGCGAAAGAGAGTGAGAGAGTGAAAGAGGGAGGGTGAGGGTGAGGGCGAGGGTCGGTGAAGAAGGAATACGGGGTAAGGGAAGGGAAGGGTGTGGGTGTGGAGGGGGGGAGGGAGGGGGAGGGTTCGGGGGGGGGGGGGTGGGGGATGAGGAAAACAAGGTGACGAGGGATAGACCACTCTAAGTGCAGCAAAGCGAGCAGCGAATACGAGCAATGTGACCACTTTCCGAGCCAGGTATCCATCCAGCCAATGGAACGGCTAGACCATCCTAAATGCAGCGAAACGAGAAGCGAAGAGAAGCAACGCAGTAACCATGTAACGCACTTTTCGAGCCAGGTATCCGTCCAGCCAATCAGTGATTGAGGCCATGATGAAAATGGCGGTGGCGATTCCCGGGGTGAAGAAGAACGCTGGAAGGGAAGGAAGAATGGGAGGGAGGAGCAACGGGAGCAAGGAAGGAACAACAGGAGGTAGGGACAACGGGAGCACGGGACAACGGGAGCAAGGGACAATGGGGGAAAGGGACAACGGGGAAAGGGAACAACGGGGTTAGCAGAGTTGTTGCGTCACGAACGCATCGAGCATTGTCAATGAATAAAAGAAGAAGAAGAGCGCTGCTACGGGATGAGCGATGGTAAAAAAATGTTAACGTACTGATGAGAACATAGATGGAAGGATTCTTGATTTGGGAATCACTGAACCTACCAGGAATTATGGCGGGTACTGCTACGACGCGAGCGATCGTTAGGATAGTCGGCAACGTCATCCACTCCTCCTTCCTTTTCTCCTCGGAAGCTCCCGAAGTTCTCCCAGCTGCCCCTGCACCATCCCCACTGTCTCTGACCGCGTCTTTCTGCTTCTCCTCTGGCGGTAAATCGCTTGTCGGAATCGTCGCTCCGTTTCCTCCGGCTGCGTTAACGGTCACGCCTGTGTAAACTTGACGGCTAGCCGTCAGCGGTTGAAAAAACGCGGCCTCGTCGCTGAGCTTTACCCTAACGCGGTTTCTCGGCCGTACGTCGGCGTGAAGGTGAAGTGACGAGAAAGGAAGGCTAACCGGCGAAGCAGGAAGGCGTTGTTCCAACGCTTGCGCACACGGAGCTGCAGCCATGATTGGCGAAGATCGGGAGGTTGATGTGAATGATGACGACGAAATTGATCTAAATCTCGCGATGAGGGACAGTCGTGGCGAAGATCGCGAGTTGAATACAGAAACGGACGAGGACGTAGGCTGCGAAGGAAGCGAGAATCCTGGTAACCGGCTTGTGCTTTTCGCGAACACTAGGCTCTTCTCTGTAGGAACGCTCAGAGAATGAATGGCCGTTCGCGACGACGATCTGGAGAACGATCTGACCGCAACCGCATGAAATACAGAACTACTAGATAAACTCTTGATCACAGGTAGAGACGACGGAAGTGGAGGTGACAGGGAAGAGGCTACGCGCCTATATGTGGAGGTTGGAAGACGGTGAACCTGGGGGGGAGCCATGGATTTATGGATCAGGAATGGTAAAACCTAGACGTTGCTGGCCAGTCGCGCGGCCTTCACTGGTTTGGTTACGTGTCGGGTCTGGATAAGCTTGATTTGAAACAAGGAAATATCGAGAGCTGTAAATCGGTGGGATACGTCCTTGAACGTTATGTATCGGTCCCACAGAGTATTGAACGGTGACTTCCGTTCGGCATCCGTTTCTTGCTTTGGAACCATTTTCTTCCTTTCCCTGCTATTCGAGATGGTTGCAGCTTTGTGTTGCTGTCGGCAGCTCGCTGATTGGTAACAAATTCCACGGCATTCCCCATGGAGCGAGATGGAAGATGCTGAATTTGCGAAGCTCGTAGCACATGAAGCGACTTTCTTCGGCATGCGGACGAAAGTTGGAGTTCGTAACAAGTACGTGCCCAGCTTCCAGTTCGTACGCGACCAAAATACCACCTGGGCTTTTGCGAAGTGCTTCACGGAGGACTGTTACTCTGACAGAGCTTTTCGTTAACCGGAAGGGGATGTGGTGCTCCTGCTGTAATGCCACCTGAAACCATCCAACTGACCCTCGAGAGCTGCGACAGCAGCAATTGCTCGTGTGTTCCTCGAATGCGGTTTAGTTGGGTTCTTCACAATATAGCAGGGTTTCCACTTCGTACCGCTGCGGAACGCACCAGACCGCACGAAAACGCATGCCTTGAAAGGGAACGCCCCTGGAAGACATAATGCAGGCAGGAAACATTGATCACGCAATACCTAGGGATTCTGCTACTAGAGGAGCCATAACTTCGATATTTCCGCAGGTTGTGTCCGAGCTTAGCAATAATATCGCTTGTTGTCTCAAGCGCTTATTGGCGTTGTTTAAGGGGTATATTCAGAAAGCAATGGCCGGATCTAAGGCTCTGCCCGGACTGCTCGCTATTGTCACCATTCTGGTGTGCTTGGTTCCTCCTAGCCTCGCTGCCGTGCCTGCCATTTTCAGCTCTAGCGTCAGGTATTTTGCGTAACCTTATCTAAGCTTCCTTTTTTCTGTCAACATCATATTGAAGCATTGCTGATCGGGTCGCCGTCGCAGTTCACCGGACTAACTTTTAGGGTTCCGCAGGTTGTCAGATCCGACTGATGCTGTCAGTTACGAGTCAGTTCAAGGATCCGCTCTTCCTTCTCTTCTGTTCGACCCTTCTCGCGATGTAAGAACACCCGTTTCACGATCTTGCGTCCTGGTCCAACCCAATCCAATTTGTTGCCGTAGAATCCTCAGTCGTGGATGATGACCAATGTCATTGGCGAGCTTTACTGTTATCTTTCAAAAATTTCTCAGTGTGTCGTATCTTGTCGTCAACGCCTCCCTCTCGTAAAGCCGTCAGTCATCCCACTCTGGCGTATCTCCTGACTCAAAAGCGGCCTTCTTATGAGTCTTCGTTCCTACGTTTCCTAGAACTTTCCCGAGTTTCTGAGTGGCTTCTGAGTCCACTGAGCTTCGCTCACAGGGTCATTGGTATCGCATCGGTTGCATCAGGATGTCGACATGTGTCCTGCATGCACTGACTCGATTCGTAGACTGCTTGTTGTTCCGTGTCCTACCTTGGAACCATCGTGCGCACTTGTGTACCGCTCCGTCTCCTCCTGTCGATCACAGGATTCGATCTTCTCATCCTTCGACGAGGAGAGGCCTGGCGTGGTGCTCGTGTTCCTGGGCAAGGAGGTGAGTCCGTCTTCACCTTGTGTACATCCCGCAGTCTCGTTGCTGTTAAGCTCGTTTTTTCTTTCTTGTATAACTCGGCGTTCACTTTACGGCCGTCGTTTTATGAGGGTGGGATAAAGTGCAACGGGCGGAGTGCACTTCATGTCCGTCAGATGAACTTGTTTATATGTGCTTGACGTGGACTCATATGCTTTCGCTTCTGCTGTTTTGCAGATTCAAACCACCGACCTGTCGTCTCCTACTGGATCCGTCGAGCCTCTGAAGGTACGCTCCTCCTAGCGCCGAGAAAGGCTTAGGGAAGGGAGAAACGGGTGGGGAGAACGGGAGTAAGTGATTCAGGGAAAAGGGTAGAGTGCGAGGTTTGGGACGTGGGGGGAGGGGGGAGGGGGGAGGGGGGAGGGGGGGGAAGGGGGAGGGGGGAAGCGGGATGGGGGAGGGAGGGAGAGGGGAGGGGAGGGGGGGGGAAGGGGGGAGGGGGGAAGGAAGGAAAATGGTCTTACGTCGGGGAACAGGGTCGACGAGTTGGAAAGTGGGGGAGGTGCAGTTTGTAGTTTCTATCATCATCCCGTCTTCTGAGGGCCACTTTCCCTCTTCATCTTCTGTTCGCTCGCCGCCCTATCCCCTCCCTCCCTCCCTCCCTCCCTCCCTCCCTCCCTCCCTCCCTCCCTCCCTCCCTCCCTCCCTCCTCCTTGCTCCTCTTAAAACGTTAAAGGAGTCTTTTCGTTTTTGCGCCTACTCACTCACTCCACCTGGTCTTATGGATAGACTTGCTGTCTTTTTTCCTATGTCTCTGCTTTCCCCACTTCCTTTCTCGCCCTTTGTCCTCTCTTTGCTTCCTTCCCTTCTTTACCCCCTGCTTGTCTACTTTCCTCCCTTTCCTCCTTTCCCTTCGTTTCTCCTCATTTTCGTTTTCCTTTTCCTTTTCTCCCGTCTTTTCTCCATACCGGTCTTGTCTCCCGTTTCTGGTGCTTCTCCCTTCCTTCTTTTCTCCTGTCCCTTTGTCACTGTCTTCCCTTCTCAGGCTCTCCTCTCCCAGTCCGCGTCCTCCAAGGTCTTCCCCTACGTGCAGCCGCTCGACCACGCCGCCACTGCCCACGCTCTGGACGCTCTGCTCGCCTCCTTCTCCTCGCTGGCGTATGCGGGACATGCTGCAGTCAGCACCTCGTGTGGCCCTGTCTCTCGTGCGGGGATCCACCGCTTCAGCGGTGAAGACTCCCTCAAGGTACGCGCGTGGCTGTCTGAAGAGAGGAGTGGTGCTGCACATTTTGTAGACTGCCGCCACTGCCCACGTGTTGGACGCTCTGCTCGCCTCCTTCTCCTCGCTGGCGTATGCGGGGCATGCTGCAGTCAGCGCCTCATGTGGGCCCGTCTCTCGTGTGGGGATCCACCGCTTCAGCGGTGAAGACTCTCTCAAGGTACGCGCGTGCATTTGTGCACTCTTGACGCTCTGCTCGCCTCCTTCGCCTCGCTGGCGTAAGTGGGGCATGCTGCAGTCAGCGCCTCATGTGGGCCCGTCTCTCGTGTGGGGATCCACCGCTTCAGCGGTGAAGACTCCCTCAAGGTACGCGCGTGCATTTGTGCACTCTTGACGCTCTGCTCGCCTCCTTCGCCTCGCTGGCGTAAGTGGGGCATGCTGCTGTCAGCGCCTCATGTGGACCCGTCTCTCGTGCGGGGATCCACCTCTTCAGTGGTGAAGACTCGCTCAAGGTGCGTTCATGGCTGTTTGGGGGGTGGTGCTGCTGCACTATCCGTAGATTGCGCTTGACGCACTGCTCCTCGCCGCCTTCTCTTCGCTGGCGGGTACGCGCATGGCTGGCTGTTTGAGGGGTGCTGCTGCACTGTCCGTAGATTGCCGCCAATGCTATTGCGCTTGACGCTCTGCTCGTCGCCTTCTCTTCGCCGGCGGGTACGCTCATGGCTGGCCGAAGCGGGGGTGCCGCGCTGTCTAGGCCGTGCCAGCATGAGGGCAGCAGGGGGTTTGACATGGTGCTCTACTGTCTGGATGCCCCTGTGGACGCTGCAATTTCGCACTCTCTTCAGCTGCTGTGTGCTTTCTCCCTCCCTCTTGCACCTCCCCTTGTGCTTTTTTTTTCTTGTTCAGGACCTTCTGAAAACTCGTGCGAGCGTGAGGGCAGCTAGGGAGCTTGACATGGTGCTCTATTGCTCGACGGCCCTTTGGGCGCTGCACTCCCGCACTATTTTCAGCTAGTGTGTGCTTTCGCCTTCCCATCGTGCATCCCCTGTTGTGAATCCCCCCGTCGTTCAGGACCTTCTGAACAACCGTGCCAGCGTGAGGGCAGCTAGGGAACTGGACATGGTGCTCTATTGCTCGGATGGCCCTGTGGGCACTGCAATTCTGCACAATGTTCAGCTATTGTGTGCCTTTTCCTTCCCCTCGTGCATGTCCCCTTGTATTCTTCCCGTGTTCAGGACCTTCTGAACAACCGTGCCAGCATGAGGGCAGCTAGGGAGCTCGACATGGTGCTGTATTGCTCGGATGCCCCTGCAAGCGCTGACTCACACGATGATGCTGTTGCAGCAGAGAGTAAGAGCACCTTCGTTCATGCACCAGCGGCCAGCCCTTTCTGAGTGAAATGAAAGAAGAAGCACATCTTATCACACCGCACTTCCTCACACCTCACTTCCTCACACCGCACTCCCTCACACCTCACTCCCTCACATCGCACTCCCTCACTAACTACTGCACTGCACTCCCTTCCAGAGATGCCTGTGTCATGGACTCTCGTTTCAATCATTGTTTCCCCCTTGCATCCACTGAGCTCTCCACTTTGGCATCCCACATCAAGGCCATCACCCCCAACTATGCTCTCTTCTACACCGCACTCCCTCACACGGCACTCCCTCTGTTTGTCTCCCCTTTCATCTCCCCTCATCTCCCCGACAGCTACTGAGCTCTCCTCTCTGGCATCCCTCATCAAGGCCATCACCCCCAACTATGCTCTCTTCTACACCGCACTCCCCGACGCCGACGTGGGAGCACAGAGGCGTCTCCTCGCTGCTGCTGACGACTATCCTGCTGCCGGCACAGGTGCTGCTGATGCTGCTGCTGATGCTGCTGCTGCAGGCGGTGGTGCTGGTTTTGATGCGGTTGGTGCCGGTGCGGATGCTGGTGCGGGTGCAGAGGGCGTGGAGGGACAGGATGTGGCTAGGGCGGCGGTGGTAAAGAACAAGTGTGGGCCAACGTGCAAGACCCGTACCGCTCTCCTTGAGGGCATCTTTGCTGTGAGTTTGTCTCTCTGCTTTGTTTCCTTGTTGTTTTCTATGCCACCCCACCTTACTTCCCTGGGCTGGACTGTTCTTGTGGGTCTGATTGTTACGCCATTATTGCATTTTAACTGACCACTTGTCTTCCTATGCACTTCCATGTTCCGTTGTCTTTCATGTCTTCAGGGCATTGTGATGCTCATGATTCTCGTCTCAGGTCTCACAGTCCTCTCTCAGATTGACACGCCCACACGGTTTGAGGTTGCGCGTGAAGCGTCCTAAATTTGTGAGTCATCTTGAGTGCCTGCTTGGAGTCTTCCATACGGTGGTTCTGCGTACAGATTCTCTAATCTGGTGTGGAAGTTAATGGTCCTCCTAAATCAATTAACGTGGCTCGTCGGTGTTGCATGAACTCTGTATTTGGCTCGTCGAGTAGATGTAGTTTGCACCTGCTAGTCTCTTTATTTTGTCTACTTTTTCATAGGGGCATTAGGATGAATGCATGTTTAGACATGGTGATTGCTTCCTACTGTCAATGATATTGTATTCTGATGTGTTTCGAGTAAAAGTGTACTGTGCCAGGATGTAATATATTCCGCCGCCGTTTCACCGCACCAGAGCAGGGCGACCCGGCGTCACGAGCAAAACCAAAGAGAGAGGTACGGAGCAAACGAGCCACACCGCTGGTTTGAACGTGAGGCGACATTCTTGACAGGCGATTCGCTGCGATAACCTGCTCCTCTGTTCCATTTGTTACGATACTGTGCGATGAAGTGGCGAAAGTCGGTATACTCGCTCCAGCGTCTTCCTGATTTGTCGAGAGTTTGAACGTCAATCAATAGCGACTTTAGCGACTTCCGAACGTCGTCCAGAACACGGCTCCAAAGCCTTCAGCCCCAGGAACTCGGTTCGGCTCTTCCCCCTTCGCCTTTGCGCCATTCTCGCGCCTACCTTGCCCCTCGAGGTTCGGCACATCGTCAGCTACCGCGGCGCGTCGAATGAGTAGTGCCTGCATTAGCGAGCCGAAATGGCCGCTCCCAAGCCAATCAATCCCTGTCAAACCAGGTGACCCCTGATTGTTCGAGCCTCGACCAGGAGGCAGAAAATACACAATTTCTCCCAAACGGGGCTTCCATACGGAAACCTTAGCCTCGGAACCACCACTCTTCCTCTCCCTCCGCTTAGTTCGAGATTTCAGGGCACATCAGCGCATACTGTTCGCCCCATTCGGTGTGCGCCGAAGCATCGTTGTATTTCCTTTCACTAGCTACTCTGTTGCTGCTTTTGCCCCTAGTGCTGCTGCTCCGCTATTGCTCTGCACTTCTCCATCCCAGTAATTCAAAGCACGTCCTCCCACAACCAGCGCAGCTTCCAGTTAGGTAGCGACTGGCGGCACCCATTGCCATAGCAGCGACTCTTTTCTCATCTGGACCTGTGACAGCGACAAAATCGCGGTTTCAACTCGAGCCCGCTGTGTCGAATATCCTCGCCTCCTCTCACTGCTTTTCAGAAGAGTTCAGTTTACCGCAGCACGCAAGACTCCAATACCTAGTGACACTTACTACAAACTAGGTTTACATCATGGCAACGGGTCCCACCTGCAGACGCTTATTGTCACTAGATATCTGCAGCAGCCATTAGTCGCCTCCAGTGTCGTTTTTTAGTCGGCGCCTCTCAATCGTTTTTTTCTCAGTGCCAGTGACAGCCCGCCTTCCCCTCTGGCCCGCAGCCATGGCGCGGACCACCATCCCCTTCTACCTATCCCGCCTACCGCGTCTCTTCGGCCTTCTCTCCCTGCTTCTCCTCGCGTCGCTGATACCGCATCTACTCGTCTCCGCGCAACCCGCTTCGTCCGCTGCCGCGCGCAGGCAAGCCGCGCAACCCGCTGCGGCCGCAACGACGAAGTCGGCGGACCAGGACGCGATCGCGAAGAAGCGGTTACAGCTGTTCCACGAAGTCGTGCAGGCGATTGCGTTTTCGCACGTCGCAAATGCGACCAACGGAACGATAATAACCCTACCTTCAACACCCTCGTCTGGGTCGACTATGGACCTCGCCGTCCTCGATACTGCGTCGTTCGCTGCAAATGGTATTAGCTATAAGGAGTTTTACTTACCGCCCGGGTTAAATGTTCCTACAACGGAGTCTCAGGTGGTGTTACTATACCAGAATTACCCTAATTTCACGGCGCCGTTTAGACCGCCGAAGGGTTACAAATTCGCGGCCCAATTCGTGGGGCTGAGCGTGTACCCGTTTTCGATGATCAACAGCGCGACTCTTGTCCAACCGCTGAATGTGTCTGTATCGGATACAAACACGCCGATTCAGGTCTCCCTGGCGTTGGACGTTTACTTTCCGGATTTTTACTTCTGCGTGACGTTTGACGCTGACGGTCTGCCGGTTAATTCTACAGTGACAACCGACAGGTCTCCCCCGCCGCCGTCGTCAACAACTCCAGTCACGGGTACCACCAACTACACCTGCAAATCTCCCGACCTAGGGGAATTTACCCTAGCAGTCTCCCTCGAACCCCCTCCGCTATCTCCCCCGCCTTCCCCCGCTCCCCCCACTCCGCCTCCCCCTTCCCCCGTTCCTCCCCCCCCGCAACCCCTGCCTCCGCCATCCCCGGCGCCATCTTCCAGCAACGACACTGTAGCGCTCGCCGTGGGGTTATCCATTGGGATTTTCTTCCTGCTGCTGGTTCTGGGATGCCTCGCGTGGGTGTTTTGGCGATCGCACCGGAAGGCGAAGCTCGAGCAATTGGAGCGCGACGCGGAGAAGAAGCTGAATCTGGAGACGGCGCTGGTTGGCGGAAACCGCGCGCCCGCCGCGGGCGCGTCAAGGACGAAAGCGGTGATTGAGTGGGAGGAATCGCTGCCGTCCATTGATGGGATCTAAGAGCTGCACGAACGGCTGTGATCCGCATGTGTCCATATGCATCCAGATGCTTCCACATGCAAGATAGCAATGGGAGGTGGTGAAGTGGGACTGAAGCAGCGTGATGCATGAGGGGGGTGACTGACTGGCACGGAAGCTGTGGATGGCAGACGTGATTCCAGTGGCGCTTGGAAAAGGTTCCTGGAAGGTGGGAGGAAGGATTAGCCTCTGGTTATGTGGTGCTGATGGAGTTGAAGACAGGCACGGTGGAGGTCGTGGTGGTGTGTGGTGCTGTGTGGCTGCTGCATGCTGATACCAAGTGTTTGTTAGCTTGAGCAGCACAGCTGATTTTGAAAATGGGAGGGGATGGTTGGAGGTGGGTGTGGGGGAGGGTGAGGAGAAGGTGCAGGCAGGCAGGTGCAGTGGCAGCAGCAGAAGCTGCAGCACAGCTAGGATTGCAAGTAAACAGGACAAATGTTCAAGATAGGTTGATGATACAAGCATGTAGTGGTTGAACGACGGTCTATTTAGTTTTGTCTTTTTTATATGACCATCCGTAGTGGTTACTGTATGGTTTTGCTTGATGAAATATGTAACGACCTTGTGTTTTGGCATTCGATATGTTATACACATAATTTTTATTATAATTTTCATGAGGTTCCCTCACTATGGCATCCACTGGCATCCACTTATGGTATGGTGGTTTGGTGATGTGCGTACAAAAAGTGGTTTCCTAGAAGCGGGACAGTTATGACACATATTCGAATCTCGATGTCGAATAGCGAGTACAGAGTTTAAATCCATCAGGATTGGCCACGCTGGAGTCAACCTCTGACAGGCTGCGGTAACAGACATCGACTCTTTTCGACCTTGTCGGAGACTGCTTCGCTCCGACAATGCCGAAACTGAAGATGGCGTCAGTGTCACTTTTTGTTCCCCCACTTTCTGCCTGATTCTGGAATCTGGTTTTTGCTTTCTGGACTCCTGAAACCCTGAATTTCCCTTGGTGATTCCGAAACCAATCTCTAGGTCCTTCCTGTTTCTGCTTGATTCATGGTTGATCATAGAAGCAGATCGTTCTATGGGAGCTCACAGCAGCTCCAAGTCCTGGTCCATTATATCATTTTAAGATGTCCCTAGGCCACTCCAGCTTGCCGTTTTTTAAACTGGCTATTTTGGTACCAGCATTCTGAATTGCTTCAGACATGGTGTGTCAGAACCGTGGTATCTTTAGTAATCTTAGTCAGCAGTATCCTATTAGGGAGCGCTGTAGTGCTGTAAGGTCGCGTTTCCGGCAGTGATGTGGACAATAGAAGGATGGCGACATCAACTCGTCGCAGACCAGGATTCGCCAGTCGCAAAACGTCGCGAGCAGCCAAGGTGTTCGCCTGGCTGGTCGACGACGCTGACGAGTCGCAGGCGACCTTCGGCTGCGATCAATCGCCTCCATGCGATAAATCGCCTGAATGCGATCAAGCGCCGGTCGGCATGCCGGATGAAGCACGAAGGACGAATTTTCTGACACAGGAAAAGCAGGTGCTTCCAGAGTCGAGTCGAATTCAAGCACATGAGACCGAGCGCACGGATCCTCATGAAAATGGAATCAAGCAGGCGCAACATCATGGGAGCAGCGAGTGCAGGAATCGCCATGAGCTTGTAAAGAGCACAGCCAGCACTGATAATCTGTTGCAGGTTGAAAATGAGAAGTCTGGGATGCCGAGGGAGATCGAGAAGGGTCAAGCGGAACGGAAAGAGGAGGGCAAGATGCAAGGATCAGGGAGCAGAGCAGCGAGAACAGATCATCAGAGACCAGAGGCGATGGCTCAGGTCTTGTTGCAAGCGCCAGAGAGCAGAGCAGTGGGAATTGAGACGAAGGGTCAGGTCTCGATGCAAGTGCCAGAGATCAGAGCATTGGTGCAGACGGCTGCTGAATGCGCATCAGTCAACGGAGGGTTGCCTTTCGAAGCACAGGATAATGATGAAGATTTACTGCTGGTTTGTGAGAAATTTCAAAAGCTGAGTCAAGATTCGCTGCTGGTTTGTGAGAAATCTAAGAAACAATGTGAAGATTCTCTGCTTCCATTGGACGTTCAGGAGCGAATCAATGCGAACCGGCAAGCAGCCATTCAGAGGCGAGCAGAGAGGCTGGGGCGGCAGGTGGAGGAGGGAGAGGAGGGCAGGGATCATCGTCAGCAGCAGCAACACCTGCAGCAGCAACAGGAGCAGCGCGACTACCCACAGCGGCGACAAGAGCAGCACATGCAGAAGCAGCACCAAGCGCAGCCGCAGCAGCAGCAGTGCCTGCTAGCTCCTCTGCAGGTGTCTCTGGAGCTCGTTTCAGCAGAGGAGTTTTGTATCTTTGCGGATTGGGACACAAGCGGAGCAGCTTATAAGGAGTACATGAGAAGAACCGGAGGAGAAGCAAGCAGAGTGGCTGGCGGGGGAAACGGGAGAGAATCTGGCACTGGGAGAGGACATCAAAATCCACCAGTGATTGGAGTCGCAGCCAGTTCAGGGCGTTCTTATAACGAGAAATCAGTGCACCAAAGAGAAGTTGCAGCAAAGTCTCAGAATTCCACTGAGGCGAAGGATGCAGGCAGCAGGGGCAGCAAGTGCAGCAGCGGAATGCTGCTGGACCATCAAACTGCCCTTTCTTTCTGCATGAGCTTCGTTAAGGTGATGTGATGTGCTGCTCTGTCGTTGTTAATTGAACCTCAAGAGCACTGTCTTTCTTGCATCGATTATGCTTTTCATACAAATGAAATTTGTAACACAAGGGTGGTTTCAAATGGGCTGTTCCAGGTGCAAGGTCATGCCCCTATACCACGAGCGATGTTTTGAGAAATTTCAAAGATTGCCGAGAAACTAGTTATTCAGTTAACACCTGTGTGATCCGATCCCGTTCACTGCAATGACAGGTTCGGCCAATCAGGTGGCAGCACGTGGCAACAGAGGCGTCAAGGGGCGCCACCCGCCTGGTGCCTGTGTTCCCGCTTCGCCTCTACGACCCCCTCCTCTTCTCCCTCCGCTCCATCCCTCCCTTCCACACCTTCCATCCTGTTCTTCCGAACCAACAACCAGACCAGTGTGGGAGAGTGAGTGTGGGGGTGAGGATTCAGGGCGTCCCTGTGAGTACGCTGGGTGCGCTGAAGGAGAGGAAGGAGAAGGAGAGGATGAGAGGGATGGTGGAAGCAGCACCAACAGCAGCAGCAGCAGCAGTGGAGGTCGGCAGAAGAGGAGTCACAGCAGGAGAATCTGTTGAAACTAAAGCAGGAGGAGCAGCAGTAGCAGCAGGAGGAGAAGCAGCAGGAGGAGCAGCAGGAGCAGCAGCAGCTGCAGCACGAGTAGGAGGGTCAGGAAGTGTAGCAGGAGAAGGCATTCATGATTCACCTTCTCGCATCCCCGCCTGTCCAGCTACTGGCCCGGCAGCAGCTTCGGGGCAAGGTGGTTCGAGGCATGATGGTTTGGGGCAAGGTGGTTCGGCATGGAGTGCCTTGGATCGGGAGATGGAACGGCGGCTGCCAGGTCAGCTCCGGCGAGCGCTGCTGCCGTTCCAGAGGGAGGGGGTGGAGTTTGCAGTGGGGAGAGGGGGGCGCTGCCTGATAGCAGACGAGATGGGCGTGGGGAAGACCATCCAGGTAGATCACTAGCGTATGTGTGTGTCAAAGCTGTTCCAGAGGGAGGGAGTGGCGTTTGCAGTGGGGAGAGGGGGGCGCTGCCTGATAGCAGACGAGATGGGCGTGGGGAAGACCATCCAGGTAGATCACTAGCGTATGTGTGTGTCAAAGCTGTTCCAGAGGGAGGGAGTGGCGTTTGCAGTGGGGAGAGGGGGGCGCTGCCTGATAGCAGACGAGATGGGCGTGGGGAAGACCATGCAGGTAGATCACTAGCGTATGTGTGTGTCAAAGCTGTTCCAGAGGGAGGGAGTGGCGTTTGCAGTGGGGAGAGGGGGGCGCTGCCTGATAGCAGACGAGATGGGCGTGGGGAAGACCATCCAGGTAGATCACTAGCGTATGTGTGTGTCAAAGCTGTTCCAGAGGGAGGGAGTGGCGTTTGCAGTGGGGAGAGGGGGGCGCTGCCTGATAGCAGACGAGATGGGCGTGGGGAAGACCATCCAGGTAGATCACTAGCGTATGTGTGTGTCAAAGCTGTTCCAGAGGGAGGGAGTGGCGTTTGCAGTGGGGAGAGGGGGCACTGCCTGATTGATTGCAGACGAGATGAGTGTTGGGAAGACCATACAGCTAAGCTCCCACATGTGTTCTCGTGTGTTTGCTCATGTGTGTCAATGGTCAAGGTAATTGCTACAATCGGATATGAGATGGAAGCGCTGCATTCGAGCCCACTCGAGGAACACACGCCCGCCCTTTTTCGTTCCTCTCCCACTACGTTTCCCTCTTGCTTCCTCATCCACATCAGGCCATAGCAGCAGCGGCGTGGTACATGGCAGAGGGCCCTCTCCTCATCGTGTGTCCAGTCGGGTGGCATGCCTCTGACTGCACTGGGCAGAGCAGCTGCCTCTAGGGTAGACTGACTCACGCCGCACCTCCCACCCTCTTCCCTCCCATCCACTGCCACCCACCCCAGGCCATAGCAGCAGCAGCGTGGTACATGGCAGTGGGCCCTCTCCTCATCGTGTGTCCGGCCGGCCAGCATGCCTCTAACTGCAGTGGGCCGAGCAGCTGCCTCTAGGGTAGACTGACCCACGACGCACCTCCTATTCAATACCTTCCCATCCCCGCTCTCCTCCAGGCCATAGCAGCAGCGGCGTGGTACATGGCAGAGGGTCCTCTCCTCATCGTGTGTCCGGCATGCCTCAGACTGCAGTGGGCCGAGCAGCTGGAGAGATGGCTGCCCTTCCTGCGCCCGTCTCAAATCCACATTGGTAAGCCTCTGCCCTCGCAGCAACCAGGTAACAGCTGGCGTGGGTGCTATGAGCTGCCCTCTCCTCATCGTGTGCCCGGCGTGCCTCAGGCTGCAGTGGGCCGAGCAGCTGGAGAGGTGGCTGCCCTTCCTTCGCCCGTCTCAAATCCACATTGGTAAGCCTCTGCCCTCGCCACAATCAGGTAGAAATCACCAGTGTGGTCAAGTCGAGAAACCCTAGCGGGCTGGCATGGGTTCTACCAGCAGCAGCCCTCTGCTCATTGTGTGTCCGGCGTGCCTCAGGCTGCAGTGGGCCGAGCAGCTGGAAAGGTGGCTGCCCTTCCTGCGCCCGTCGCAGATCCACATAGGTAAGCCTCCTGCCCTCTCCGCACCCAGGTATCAATCGCACACACAGTACAAGCGAGCAACACTGCCGGGCTGGCGTGCACTACCAGCTGCCCTCTCCTCATCGTGTGCGCGGCGTGCCTCAGGCTGCAGTGGGCCGAGCAGCTGGAAAGGTGGCTGCCCTTCCTTCGCCCGTCTCAAATCCACATTGGTACGCCTCTGCCCTCGCAGCAACCAGGTAACAGCTGGCGTGGGTGCTATGAGCTGCCCTCTCCTCATCGTGTGCCCTGCATGCCTTAGGCTGCAATGGGCCGAGCAGCTGGAACGGTGGCTGCCCTTCCTCCGCCCGTCTCAAATCCACATTGGTAAGCCCCTTTCACAGCAGTAGTGCAACTACTGGCGCAGATGATTTTTTAGCTAACATTATGATATCTTCAATTAACCACTTGGTGAATTTTGAGTCGACTCAACCAGTATGAGTCGACTCAAAAGTCACCATGATTTTTTAGCTAACATTATGATATCTTCCACCACTTTGACTGCCTGCACTGCAGTGTTGAATCTGTTTTTTTAGAATTCACAAAAACAGATTCAACATTATGATATCTTCCACCACTTTCACTGCCTGCAGTGTTTGGCCAAAGGGATGATCTATCGGAGGAGGATCTGTTAGTCAATTAAAAAAACCGACTCATTACACGCGGTTTTTATATCGAATTATGATTTGTTCTTCTCCACCTGTTTGACTGCCTGCAGTGTTTGGCCAGAGGGACGATCTAGTAGAGGAGGACGAGGGGGAGAGGAAGCTGGGAGCTGGCACGGAAGGTCACTTGAACGGGCACACGGACAAGGAAAAGAGCACAGGTGAGGTTACATTTCAGAGACAGAGGGACGATCTAGTGGAGGAGGACGAGGGGGAGAGGACGCTGGGAGCTGGCACGGAAGGTCACTTGAACGGGCACACGGACAAGGAAAAGAGCACAGGTGAGGTTACATTTCAGAGACAGAGGGACGATCTAGTGGAGGAGGACGAGGGGGAGAGGACGCTGGGAGCTGGCACGGAAGGTCACTTGAACGGGCACACGGACAAGGAAAAGAGCACAGGTGAGGTTACATTTCAGAGACAGAGGGACGATCTAGTGGAGGAGGACGAGGGGGAGAGGACGCTGGGAGCTGGCACGGAAGGTCACTTGAACGGGCACACGGACAAGGAAAAGAGCACAGGTGAGTGAGCTGAATCTCGAGAGGCAGTGGGTTTGAACTAGTCAAGGAGGAGGACGAGGGGGAGAGGAAGCTGGGAGGTGGCACGGAAGGTCACTTGAATGGGCACACGGACAAGGAAAAGAGCACAGGTGAGCACAGCCTTCGAGAGGCAGTGGGATTGAACTAGTGGAGGAGGACGGGGGGAAGGGGGCGCTTGGAGGTGGCATGGATGGCAAGAACGATTTCATGGAGGAGTACGAAGGGGAGTGGGCTCTCGCTTTGAGACGTCTCAAAAAAGGAGAGGAGTACGAAGGGAGAGGGCTCTCGCTTTGAGACGTCTCAAAAAAGGAGAGGAGTACGAAGGGAGAGGGCTCTCGCTCGGTGACGTCTCAAAAAAGGAGAGGAGTACGAAGGGAGAGGGCTCTCGCTTTGAGACGTCTCAAAAATGGAGAGGAGTACGAAGGGAGAGGGCTCTCGCTCGGTGCTGCTGGTAGGAAAGGAGTGGCAGCACGGCTGCTCGCTTGGTCGGTTGCACAGACACGGCAGTGGAAGACCTGGCACAGAGTCCAGATGAGGTGACCTTTGAGTCTCATCGTGGTAGGAGGGAGTCTCCCACGGTGACCTTTGAGTCTACTCAAAAGTCACCGTGGTGCTGGTAGGAAAGGAATGGCAATGGCTGCTCGCTTGGTCGGTTGCACAGACAAGGCAGTGGAAGACCTGGCACAGAGTCCAGATGAGGTGACCTTTGAGTCTCATCGTGGTAGGAGGGAGTCTCCCACGGTGACCTTTGAGTCTACTCAAAAGTCACCGTGGTGCTGGTAGGAAAGGAATGGCAATGGCTGCTCGCTTGGTCGGTTGCACAGACAAGGCAGTGGAAGACCTGGCACAGAGTCCAGATGAGGTGACCTTTGAGTCTCATCGTGGTAGGAGGGAGTCTCCCACGGTGACCTTTGAGTCTACTCAAAAGTCACCGTGGTGCTGGTAGGAAAGGAATGGCAATGGCTGCTCGCTTGGTCGGTTGCACAGACAAGGCAGTGGAAGGCCTGGCACAGAGTCCAGATGAGGTGACCTTTGAGTCTCATCGTGGTAGGAGGGAGTCTCCCACGGTGACCTTTGAGTCTACTCAAAAGTCACCGTGGTGCTGGTAGGAAAGGAATGGCAATGGCTGCTCGCTTGGTCGGTTGCACAGACAAGGCAGTGGAAGACCTGGCACAGAGTCCAGATGAGGTGACCTTTGAGTCTCATCGTGGTAGGAGGGAGTCTCCCACGGTGACCTTTGAGTCTACTCAAAAGTCACCGTGGTGCTGGTAGGAAAGGAATGGCAATGGCTGCTCGCTTGGTCGGTTGCACAGACAAGGCAGTGGAAGACCTGGCACAGAGTCCAGATGAGGTGACCTTTGAGTCTCATCGTGGTAGGAGGGAGTCTCCCACGGTGACCTTTGAGTCTACTCAAAAGTCACCGTGGTGCTGGTAGGAAAGGAATGGCAATGGCTGCTCGCTTGGTCGGTTGCACAGACAAGGCAGTGGAAGACCTGGCACAGAGTCCAGATGAGGTGACCTTTGAGTCTCATCGTGGTAGGAGGGAGTCTCCCACGGTGACCTTTGAGTCTACTCAAAAGTCACCGTGGTGCTGGTAGGAAAGGAATGGCAATGGCTGCTCGCTTGGTCGGTTGCACAGACAAGGCAGTGGAAGACCTGGCACAGAGTCCAGATGAGGTGACCTTTGAGTCTCATCGTGGTAGGAGGGAGTCTCCCACGGTGACCTTTGAGTCTACTCAAAAGTCACCGTGGTGCTGGTAGGAAAGGAATGGCAATGGCTGCTCGCTTGGTCGGTTGCACAGACAAGGCAGTGGAAGGCCTGGCACAGAGTCCAGATGAGGTGACCTTTGAGTCTCATCGTGGTAGGAGGGAGTCTCCCACGGTGACCTTTGAGTCTACTCAAAAGTCACCGTGGTGCTGGTAGGAAAGGAATGGCAATGGCTGCTCGCTTGGTCGGTTGCACAGACAAGGCAGTGGAAGACCTGGCACAGAGTCCAGATGAGGTGACCTTTGAGTCTCATCGTGGTAGGAGGGAGTCTCCCACGGTGACCTTTGAGTCTACTCAAAAGTCACCGTGGTGCTGGTAGGAAAGGAATGGCAATGGCTGCTCGCTTGGTCGGTTGCACAGACAAGGCAGTGGAAGACCTGGCACAGAGTCCAGATGAGGTGACCTTTGAGTCTCATCGTGGTAGGAGGGAGTCTCCCACGGTGACCTTTGAGTCTACTCAAAAGTCACCGTGGTGCTGGTAGGAAAGGAATGGCAATGGCTGCTCGCTTGGTCGGTTGCACAGACAAGGCAGTGGCAGACCTGGCGTATGTTTCTTGAGAATTCTCAAGAAAGAGAAGTGAGTCCAGATGAGGTAGTGATAGCCCCAACGCTTACCCATCTCAGCCTCTCCGCTCCTCCTCTCCCCCCCCTGTGGCAGCTCCAGCAGTGGTGATCACGTCCTTCACCATGGCAGGCAGGTTGAGACGAACGCTGATGAGGAGGCGAGGGGGTTGGGCTTCTCTTACCCCTCTCAACCCCTTCGCACCTCCTCTTCTCCCCCCTTCATACCAGCTCCAGCGGTGGTGATCACGTCCTTCACCATGGCAGGCAGGTTGAGACGAACGCTGATGAGGAGGCGAGGGGGGTGGGGCATGGTGGTGGTGGACGAGGCTCACGTGCTGCGCACTGCCAGGAAACCCTATGATTGCCTGGAGGTGAGAAAATCCGTGGGTCTTATTCCTTGACCCCGGTGGGGTGAACGTTGGGCGAGGGGGGTGGGGCACAATGGTGGTGGACGAGGCTCATGTGCTGCGCACTGCCAGGAAACCATTTGATCGCCTCGAGGTGAGAGAGAGGTAGCAGGGAAGCGATAGCATGGACAACGGATGTGCGCATGTATTGCAGAGGAGACAGGAAGGAGCACAAGGCGGGTGGTGGTGGAATGGACGAGGCTCAGCTCATGTGCCTCGTCGAAGGCTCCTCGACTCGAGGCACTTTGACTTCCAGGAAGCCCTTCGACTGCCTCGAGGCGAGAGAGACACCCTGAAACCGCAACCCACCCACCCCATGTCTTGATGGGCGGGTGAGGCATGGTGGTGGTGGTGGTGGTGGACGAGGCTCAGCTCATGTGCTGCGCACTGCCAGGAAACCCTTTGATTGCCTCGAGGTGAGAGCAACCCTAGATTTAGAACCCTGTCCCTGTCCAACCCCCTTCCTCCCCTCCCCTCCCTCCCCTTCCTTCCCCTCCCCTCCCTCCCCTCCCTTCCCCTCCCTCCCCTTCCCTGTCCACCCTTCCCCTCCCCACCTCCACGAACCCTTGTGTGTCAGACTCGAGTGGTGGTGGACGTGATTCGGCGCACCAAGCGAGCTATCCTTCTCACCGGCACTCCATCCCTCTCCAGGCACGTTCCCTTTTCACCGTGTGACACTGTAACGAGGTGATGCTGCTGCTGCTGCTGCTGCTGCTCATTCAGACTCGAGTGGTGGTGGACGTGATTCGACGCACCAAGCGAGCCATCCTGCTCACCGGCACTCCCTCTCTCTCCAGGCACGTTCCCGCACTCACCGCGTGACACTGTAACGAGGTGATGCTGCTGCTGCTGCTGCTGCTGCTGCTGCTCATTCCCCACTCTTTCATCTCCGCCTTGTTGCTTATCCCTCCTTACAAGTCTCTATGAGCATCTTCCCCCCCATCCCCTTCTCTGTGCTTCTCTCTATCTGCAGGCCCTTTGATATTTTCAACCTGGCCGACAGCCTCGTTTGAGCCAACTCAAATGTTTCCCCCATCCCCTTTTCTGTGCTTCTCTCTATCTGCAGGCCCTTTGACATCTTCAACTTGGTCGACAGCCTCTTTTGAGCCGACTCAAATGTTTCCTCCATCCCCTTTTCTTTTCTTCGCTGTCTCTGCAGGCCCTTTGACATCTTCAACTTGGTCGACAGCCTCTGGTAAGCCACCCCTCCCCCTCCCAATGGATATAGGCCGAGAGAGAGGAGACACAGAGGGGTATTTTTCTCCCTGCTGCACACACTTGGCCTCTTTGCCTTGCCTATCAATTTATCAGACCCTTTGACATCTTCAATTCAACCTGGTCGACAGCCTCTGGTTTTCCACTCCCCTTCTCCGCCCCATCCCCCAGTTGCACTATAAAACCTATAGAGGTGTTGCTTCTTCGTCTGTATGCTTTGTTTGGTTGGTTCCTATAGAGGCCCTTTGACATCTTCAACCTGGTTTCTTTGGCTGTTCTGTTCGCCCTGTCTGTGTGACAGCATCCAGCCTTCTCCACACCCTGACTTCTCTCCAACCTTCTCTCCATCTCCCCTTCCCAGCTAGTGCAACAGGGGGACGGACAGCAGGGACAGTGTTCAAACAGCCATCCTCCCGTCTGTCCCCTTCCCTTTCTCTCCCAGGCCTGGCCTGCTGGGCATGTCCAAGTACGAGTTTGCTCGCAACTACTGCGACAGAGGGAGGGACAGCAGGGACTTCTCACACCCTTCTGCCCATCCACCCCTCTCACCACCCATCCGCCCCTTTCCTCCCTTCCTGTGTTCTCTCAGGCCTGGTCTGCTTGGCACGTCCAAGTACGAATTTGCTCGCAACTACTGCGACAGGGGGAGGGAGAGCAGGGACTTCTCAAGGGGGATTCGACTGCGCGAGCTGCACATCCTGCTGTCCCACACCGTCATGGTGAGGAGTGGTGCAGTCATCGCAAGGAGGGGTATTCTCAGGTTGAAAGGGGTGCTCTCACACACCACTGGGTCGGCTTGGCATGTTCTAATGCAAGCTCGCATGCACCTAGTGACCGGGGGAGGGACAGCAGGGACTTCTCAAGGGGTATTCGACTGCGTGAGCTGCACATCCTGCTGTCCCACACCGTCATGGTGAGGAGGAGGGGTTTTCCCAGGTTAAAAGGGGTGCTGTCACACACCACCGGTTCTGCTTGGCATGGTCTAGTGCAAGCTCACATGCAACTACTGCGATAGGGGGAGGGATAGCAGGGACTTCTTGAGGGGTATTCGACTGCACGAGCTGCACATCCTTCTGTCCCACACCGTCATGGTGAGGAGGGGTTTTCCCAGGTGCAGAGGGGTGCTGTCACACATGGTCACGGTGAAGAGGGGTGCGTCATGGTGAGGAGGGGGGGTGGTTGTGCTAGCCCATTCTGCCACCTCAGGACAGCAGGGAATTCCCAAGGGGCATTCGACTGCATGAGCCGCACATCCTGCTCTCGCACACCGTCATGGTGAGGAGCGGTGCTGACACACACTGCTGTGGTGTGAAGCGGTGCTGTCTGTCATTGTGAGGGTCCTCTTGTTTGAGTTCCCTTCCAAGTTCCAGGGGGGGGAGAGATGGTGAACGTAAAGCACATTTCTAACCTTCAGAGGTATGTTCGAGTATTGCATTCATGTATAAATGTGTCCGTGGACGTGTCAATGTGCCCTGCTGGCAGATTCGTCGCCTCAAGTCTGAGGTGGCACTCCAGCTGCCACCTAAGCGCCGCCAGGTCATCAGGCTGCGCCTGGAGCCATCTGACGTGGCACTTGCGGTTCAGAGAGTTGCTGAGCTGGCAGGTGGTGCTTCTGTGGCAGATACAGGCAAGCAATCCATTAGTGCAGATGGGGAAGAGGAGGAGGATGGGGGAGAGGACAATGAAGGGGGCGAGGGGGAGGAGGGAGGAGAAGAGGAGGGAATACAAGGAGGAGAGGGCGGGGAGGAGGAAAGGGAAGAGGGTGAAGGGGAAGAAGAGGAGGAACAGGAAAGGGAGGATGAGGCAGCAGAGGGGAACCCTAAAGAGCCAGGAAGTCACAGAGACCTGAGACCTCCTACCACACACCCGAGAGGGAACAAGGGGAAGCTTTTGATGACTGGAAAGGCTGTGAGGAAAGGGGAGCGATTAGGCAGTTTGACTGATGGAAATGGGGGGGATTTGATGGCTGAACGACGTGTTCCAAGTGCTGGTAAGGGGGATGTGGGGGGTGGAAGCGGTGGGGGAAGGGACGGAAAAGGGAGTGTGAGAGGTGGAAGCATAAGAGGTGGAAGAGGGGGAGTAAGGGGTGGTAGGGGGAGGAGGAAGCATGGGGGAGAGGAGAGGGAGGGGCGGAGAGGAGGGAAGGTGGGTGTGGGGGGGTTGAGTCCTGAGGAACTAGGACTGGCCAAGATGAGAGGGGTGGAGGAGTGGCTGAGTCACTGCTCGGTTCTGAGGGGTTGGGAGGGGTGTGAGGAGGGCGGAGAGGAAGAGGGAGGCGAGGGAGGGGTGGGAGGCGAGGGAAGGGGAGGAGAAGGGGTTGGAGGCGGTGGGGATGTGGAGGGGGAGGGACCAAGCGAGAGGAAAGAGAGGAGTGAGAAGAAGCAGAGGGGAAGGAATGGCCGGATGGTGGAGAAGATGGTGATTTTCGCGCACCATCACGTGGTGATGGATGCTCTACAGGCTGCTGTCTACCGCATCGCTGCTGCCAGCATTCTGAGGGGCGCTGAGGATGAGAAGGGAGGTGGGATGGATGAGGAGGGAGGGGCGGGTGAAGAGGTGCGGGGGGGGGGAGCTGAGGGCAAAAGTGAACCCCAGGGGGTGAGGGGAAGTGGGATGGCAGCAGAGGGAGAAGGAGAGGGAGAGGAAGAGGAAGGAGTGGGGGAGATTGGAGATGGGGATGCGGGGAACAGGGGAAGGAGGTACGGCGACCCTGCCGAGCCTGCGTGCCGTACCAAGCCTGCCGGACCTGCCAAGCTCGCCAAAGCTGCTATGCAGTTCGAGTTGGTTCGGGTGGACGGCACCACGCCTCCTCTGGAGCGGGCCGAGGCTGTCAAGAGGTTCGCCACCGAGCCTCAGGTCCGGGTGGCCATAGTGGGCGTGACAGCGGGCGGCGTGGGCTTGGACTTTAGTGCGGCGCAGACGATTGTGTTTGCGGAGATCCCGAGGGCGGCAGCAGATCTGCTGCAGGCAGAGGATAGGGCGCACAGAAGAGGCCAAAGATTTCCAGTCAACGTGGTAGTGTTCTGTGCTAAGGTGAGTACTTAGCTTACTGCAACCATAGATATTCAGGTGAGGTTTGGAATTGTGTTTGCGGAGATCCCAAGGGCGGCAGCGGATTTGCTGCAGGCAGAGGACAGGGCGCACAGGAGAGGGCAGAGATTCCCTGTCAACATGGTGGTGTTCTGTGCCAAGGTGAGTGATACTCTTGCTTCCTGCCTCAAGGTAGTGAGTGGCATATCGGTGGTTTGTTGCTACGCAGAGGACAGGGCGCACAGGAGGGGCCAGAGGTTCCCCGTGAACGTGGTGGTGTTCTGTGCTAAGGTGTGCTCCCTTGCTTTGTCTCCCGCAACCTGAATCTAAGTGCCAACCTGAATATTGATGGGACGTTTGTGCTTGTGGAGGAGATGTCGAGGGCGGCACGGCACCAGATGACTTTTGAGTCGACTCAAAAGTCACCTCGTTTGTGCTTGTGGAGATGTCGAGGGCGGCACGGCACCAGATTTGCTGCAGGCAGACAACATGTTTGAGTCACTTTTGAGAAATCTCATACGTGGCTCAAACATATCTGCTACTCACAGAGGATAGGGCGCAGAGGGATTTTGAGGAGCCTCAGAACATGTTTGAGTCACTTTTGAGAAATCTCATACGTGGCTCAAACATATTTGCTACTCACAGAGGATAGGGCGCAGAGGCCTGCTCACTCCTCTCTTCCTCTTCTGCTCATCTCACCATCCAGGACTCTCGGACGAGACGGCGTGGCAGAGGCTCTGTCGCAGTGCGGAAAGAGTGTCTGCTGCTGTGGATGGGGGGAAACCCGCAGGAGAGAGGGAGCAAAGGGACGGGACTATGGGAATCAGCTCGTTGTTTGTAACTGTTGCTTGCTCTTCCCCTTCTTCCATCTTCTCTACTCTCTGTCCCCTCCCCATTCAG